TCTTTACGCCTGGCTTTATTGATCCATATACCGTACATCAGATCCCGACATGATCCAACATCCAAGCAATATTAATCCAAAAAATAAAAAAACTTCTTTAAAACTTTTACTTATAAAATTTATAGCTAAATTTATTAACAAATGGTAAGACCATCTCCAATCTTCTGTTCTACTCTAGTGTAAAGTTTACTCTATTCCATATAGAGTTGGCCCTGAGGTAGGGTAGGTCGGGCTACTGCCCAGGGCTTCACTTACCCCCAACCAGGGACGGATCCAGAAATTAAAAGTAGACTGGACTGAAAACTCAATTTTATAAAAATAATGTGCACTATTTATGTAAATAGTCACTGAACTTGTGCTCAATGAGCTTTTAATGAGTAAAATTCATCAATAATAGAATCTACACTTATACTACTAGCAAATTTCCGTTCGGTGAAGAGTACGAAACAATATTCGAGAAAATCAGCCCCAATCTTATTACGAAATGCTGAAAAAGCTCGTTCGGTTGCATAGGTCGAAATCAGTAATGTCAGAACAAAATGGATCACCGTAGTTAACATAACATACACATTCGATCTACCACTCCTATCAATTTCTCGCATAATTCAACGAGAGTATATGCTTCAAAATTCTTAAGCACATCATGCTTATAATAAATCAACTCATATTCCAAAGTGGAAATATACTTGAGCTGTAAAATCCACTGAATAAAACTTTCTTGCGAGCTTGCAAATATCATCACTACTAAATGATCCAAAAGAATTTTCAGGATCTAAATTCAAAGTGAGAGAAAGGAGTTCGATAGAAATATCATTAAACCATATATTTAACTCCATAAAAATGAAATCAATTATTTCAGTAAAGATGTCAAAGTGGTAATAATGTTGAATTGTGATATGTTCACAAGGACGACCAACCTTATAAATATCATCTATATTTGGAACATCAATACCATTTGTTGAGCAATAAACTTCAACATGCTCAGAAAATGCTTCCCAATCAGATTCTCTCAAAATTTAACAATATATTATACATTTTATTAAGTGATCCTAACAAGCCCTATTGAAATCTTAAATAGATCAACTAAAGTCTAAAATGAAAAGAGAGACAATGACAATTATACAAATGGAACAACATCTACTAGAGATTTTAAAAATATAAACTTACCATTAAAGAAGAAAAAGTTATTGTTTGATAGAATTTTTTCACCCTAATGTTCGTAGTTCATATAATATATGTTCTTGTTCTGTTTGTGGGTAAAAGAGTAAGTGCAAAAGAGTTAACGAAAAGATTAAATGGTATTTTAAAGATCAATGACATATAATATATTATTTGGTGAGAGGTGTATTGGGCATAAGTAAATAAAATATAGTAATATACTAATTTTAAGTGGACTTATTTATTGGGTTGGTATTTTAGAATTAAAATAATAAAGTGAGTTAAATTGGGGAAATTTTATCTATACCGTATGATTTGAAAATAATTGTCAACATACCATGGTCAAATCTTTTATTGCATCTCTACAAAAATCGTGGCATTTAATTGTAAAAATGTTAAGATTTCAGTTACCAAAACTGATTTGCAACTGACACTTGATTTGCGGATATCTTTATCGATTTTTTAGTAAAAAAATAAATAAATACATAATACCAAGTCAATTCTGATTCGTTTTTTCTTTTTCTTTATTACACGATCAAGATTATGGTAAGTTTGCGTACTCATTTTCTAACTACCCAAAATATACACGATCAGGATTATATACAGAATATATACAAAAGATATACTCATTATATACAGACAACGTAAAGAAAATACACAACCGATATGCAGAAGATAGATCAATCTTATCATTATATACAGAATATATACAAATGAAGAACAGGCCAGATATGAAACATACGAAATGGTGGGCGATGAAAAATATATACGGAACATATACTGCATATACACGCAACATATAGTGACGATTGTGAGTTTACGATAAATAAATATCATCCCATCAATAACGCCATTAAAAGCTCCAGAAAACTCTCAATCTACGTGCCCATCGTCCCTTTCCCGCGCGTCCACCGTCTCCACCATCAACCTTTGGGAATTGTCATATGGTCTCAGCTATCAACCTGCGGATCTCCTCTCACCGCATTCCACCGGAAATCTTTTCCGCCCTTCTGAGCGAATCCTCAACCGTGTCCAGTTGTTTCGGCCACCACACCACAAACCCCGTCCCTTCTTTTCCCACGATCTCGTTCTGTATCGTTCCATCTGTTGCTTGAGTAATCAACTTCCTCGTGTTCGCTATCTCAATTTTCGATAACGGTGATGTTTTGTGGTTCTTGAGAAGGGGAGATAACGAAAAGAAGAGAGGGCGAGGGGGAGAGAGAAGAAGAATAGAGATAGAGAGAGATAAGCGTGATTTGAGGGAGATAATTAATCTTTAACTAATACATCTTAGGTAAAGGTGCAAATAAAAGTATTATTTCTTGCTATATTGCTAATATTTGTAAAAGGGTTTTAATTATGTAATAAAATATGAATTACTTAGTGTAGGAGGTAATTTTCTCTTAAATTTAAGTTAGTTGATTTATTGGGCTGGGCNCAAAAGTTAAAGGCCTGGGCTTTAGCCCAGCCCAGGCCAATGATACATCCCCCCCTACACCCAAAGCCCACTATTATTCATTATTGATATATGTAATTATCATATATAAAAATAGTTTTAATAGCTATTTTTTAATTTCTTAGTAAAAGTAGTTTTTTTTTTCTAATTGATAAATTTCATGAAAAAGTAATTATTAATTATTAGTAGTAAAATTAATACGTTTTTACATATTTTTCTATATTCTTTTAATTTTTTTTCCTTGTTGCTTGAATATACAAAATTCTTCACAACTTGAGACACAATTAAAAAATATTACTAATAGTCATTAGAAGAGTCAGTTGCAATCAACTCATTTTAATACGAGTTTCAATATATCGTTGTTTAGTTTTCTTAGATATCATTACTAATAAGTTTTTACTTTTCTGATAAACAAATATTAAACTTTTTTGAATATTATTTACTCCAATGAATTTAAGATATATCAATAAGTAAATGAAAAGTTTAGAATTTTAACATTTATTTTTTTTAAGAAAGAAAATATTTCATCCCTCTTTTTCATTTGTTATTTTTAAGATATGAAATTTAGTTACAAGTGTATTTTATATTTCACAACTTTTATTATAGCCAGTAAATGAAACATTCAACACATGTCGCCTAGGGCTTTATGAAGTTCAAGACCGGCTGTGACTAATATAGAGTAAAATATGCCAAAATTTAATTTTCATATCCAGTATTAGTACAAAAAAATATAAATACAACAATACAATCAATTTAAAAAATTTAACAAAATAAATTATTTTACTACTGTATACTTTGTCAAAATAATATATAGAATAAAAACCAATTAAAAAGAAAATTAAAAAAACTTGTAACCCATGAATAGTGTTACGCTAAATGTTCGGCCTCTTTTTAGTTTTGTTGATAAGATAAGCCAACTAAAATTATCCAAGATTAGCTCTTGTATAATTCGCAGGATTACAATATGATTTATCTTATGTGGTGGCGTACATGTGGCATGTGAGCCCCACATGCTTATCATTTTTTGGCAGATAATTCCTTCCCGACCACCTCCTGGAATTGTGTTATCCCAATCCCACTTTGACTATTTTGCCCTCATTTTTGCCAGAGAAAAGACAAGAATATCCCTCAATGTCATATTATTTACCATGAATTGAAAGGTAAATTAGACATTTCAATTTTCAAGTTATATCATATCATTTAGTGCATGATAATAAATGTTTGGTGTTGTTTATGAAGTCATCTAGAAATTAATTGATTTTTTTTTAATTATAGTTACTTTTGAAAAAAGTTGGTATAATTAGTTGTTAGTGGATATATTAAAATAATATTTAAAATAAAATAATTATAGTTGATATGATGTAAAAGTAAGAGAAAAATGATTGGAAGTTGTAGTTAGTTAAAATTATGTGAAAAGATGAATAGTGAATTAAAGTTGATGTGATGTGTAAGAATGATTAGTTGATATTATTTAGTTATATTGATAATATTAGAAATAATGAAATTAAATTAAAGTGAAGTTAAATTTAATTTTTTAATTAATTTTTTTTAAATGAATTGATAAACAATCACCCACAATTTTGCACAATTTTGAATCCATAATGTAAACAGTGGACAAAACCATGTGAATTTTTTTTTTTCCTAAACAGTGTTTTCCCCTTCATTTCCTCCAAAAATTCGCAATTAGGGTTTTACTGCTTCATCGTCACTCATACGATCCTTGAATATCATACTAATGATAAAAGCAGTAAAACTATCGCACGGCAAGAACGAGATAATAGATGCGCATTTCTTTGTTGACACACACACACACGCACATATTAATAATTGAGGAAAATTGGAAGAATAGGAAGGGTTTACTCTGATAATTAGATACTGGTGTTAAGGAGGTAAATGGCGTCGGTGGCGAGGCGGAGGCGGCGGACAGTGCTGATTCTGAGGCGGATGCTAATGTGCGCCATAGGGACTATTGCCTTGGTGACTCTGCTTTATGTGCACGTTCAGGAAGCTAACAGATTGCCTGCTGACGCTGTACACAAGCTCCCCTCGGTCTGCTCTTGTTCTCCATTTTAATGTTCATTTATGTATTTCATTTTATACTGTTTTATCATGTGTTCTTTTTGGCCGTCCTTGGACTTTACTGGTCTCGATCAAGATATAAACAATGATGACATCTTCTTTGTCTTTGTCCGTTTTGGTTTCTTTGTTCTGCATTCCGTTCCAAGATGTGTGACATGTCTTTGTTGTGATTTAATTTGTACTAGCATCATCCTTTTGTTCCAGGTGTGTTATGGATTTTGCTTAAATTGCTCTCTGAAAGTGAAGATTAGTAATTTGTTTCCTTAAATGCTAGTTCAAAGTTAATTGATCCTTTACACGTTCTTGCTAATTTTCTATTTTTCTATATTGATGGAAATCTGGAAAGATCAGTATGGTGAAATTGGACAATTGAGCTGATCTTTGCCGAGTTTCAATTTTTTGTAGCAACATGAGACTGGGTACCAAAAGCTGAGCAAAGAAGGAAGCTGGATGCAAGAGCTTGCTGCTCCTCATTTGAAAAATCCTCTCACCACTGATAAGGTTTTAACTTCTCTTGAGAACATACTATCATTTTCTGTATTTGCTGCTGAGTCTTTGTAGTCTTAATTCAAGGAAAACCATTAGTGAATATTAGTGTTGTCCAAAATGCTTTTGTCCTTTGGTTGTGCTCATTGTACATGTGGGTTTGATCTGGTTGTTGTTGTGATGGTATAATATATATTTGTTGATATAATGTAGTTATGCATCTTTCATGTTTTCACTCCTTAAGATATGACAGTTGGATAGTGCAAGCCAACGCTTGGATTCGAACAAGTTGTGGAAGAGGCCACCTAACAGAGATTATGTACATTGTACTGAACCAAGTTCATCTTACATAAGTAAGTGCAGTAAAGAGTATTTATCATCGTAATGCATAACTTAGTGTACTTTGTGATGTTATGTTATATTTTCGATTGGGGCATACTTTCATACTACCGTCTGCCCTTTCAGCTTACCCGGAATCTCGAGGTTACTTGCTGGTACATGCAAATGGTGGCCTTAACCAGATGAGAGCAGGGGTTTGTGTTTATGTTTCTTCGTTTTACATTTATGCCTCTTATCTGTTTCCAGCATGCAAGTTTCATGTTTTTCTTTATTAACTTCAGGCATTTTACTCCGCATGCATTTTTTATCTTCAGTAATCTATTTGTTATGTCCTCTGGAATATAATGATCCCAATGTCTTCAAGCAAAACCGAAAAAATTGTTTTGGGAATCACAAATATTTTTCTTTTTCAAATATAGAATTTGTTCCTTTTTTACATATGTTAGCAGAACATAGTTTTTGAAGTATAACAAATTTTGGGAACTGAAAATGGAGAAGGCTTATGAAGTTTTTGTTCTAGTGACACCCTTATAGTTTCATTTCAAATGTGGTCTATACATAAAGTTAGTGACTTAAGCAATACCCATTATGTTATTCAGTCTTTTAAATTTGTCATGCAACATTGTCTCTGACTTTTAGAGTTATATTCATAACTCAAAATCACATCTGCTACAGCATGTACTTCATCAAAGTTTGAGTTGAGAGTAATGTAGTTCATGATTTCCGCATGCCTATTTTCTTGTGCTTAACTGAAGCATTCACTTGCAAATTGAGACTTCATATATGTTGCAAACTTTGATGAAGGCTGAAATTTTGAAATGTGCATAATGTTAAAAGCTTGTGCACTGGGATTAATATCTAGTGATTGCAATTGCTAAGCAGTATGTTTGGCAACACGTGCACATAACAGAATTCCTTCTTGCAGATATGCGATATGGTTGCTGTTGCGCGTCTTATAAATGCAACTCTTGTCATTCCTGAATTAGATAAACGCTCCTTTTGGAAAGATTCGAGGTATGTTGTTAAAAGTTGTACGTCGTTATGATCAAATGCATTTGAGCATGAAATAAGTGTTTCCTAATATAATTTATCTGCTGAAAATTGCAGCAACTTCTCGGAAGTCTTTGATGAGTACCATTTTATTGATTCTTTGGCTGCTGATGTAAAAATTGTAAGAAGGCTCCCGAAGGAATTGGCAACTGCCACTAGGGCGAGCAAACATTTCAGAAGCTGGGCAGGTGCAGAATACTACGAGGAAGAAATAACAAAGTTGTGGGACGAACATCAGGTACTCTGGAAAATTATGTTGAGCTGTTTTATTTCTGGAAGGTTTTTGGGTGACAAGTTTATGTGGAAACATCTTGTAGGTAATTCGAGCAGTGAAGTCTGATTCTCGGTTAGCAAACAATAACCTTCCTCCCGACATTCAGAAGTTGCGTTGCCGTGCTTGCTATGAGGCCCTTCGCTTTGCTCCTAAGATCGAGGAGATGGGAAAGGTAATTACTCTATTTATTAGTTAAATGAATTCTAAAATTGGCCTGCCTTAAAATGTGCCCCTTTAAGTTTAGGATGATTGCAAAAATTACCCTAAGTTATGTATTTACAAAAAATATAGTTAAATACATAAAATATAGTGAACTTTCAAAATAATATGGGCAAAATATCAGACGACAAACCCCAAGAATTATGCAGTTTCAGAGTTAGAAATATCAGGGGGTGGATTCTGTAGTTTTCCCTTTATGGACGGTACTTGCATACACTTTTTTTTCTTATTATTTTTTTTTTTCCTTTGTAGCTGTTGGTGGATCGAATGAGGTCTTATGGTCTATACATAGCTTTGCATTTGCGGTTTGAGAAGGACATGCTTGCCTTTAGTGGCTGCACCCATGATTTATCCTCAGAAGAAGCAGAGGAACTAAAAAGTATCAGGTAAAACATCTTGGTAAATTCATTTAAAACGCCTGCTGTTACTAGTCTGATATTTAATGCAGTATATCTCTTATTTTATTCATTTTGAACTGTTAGAGAGAATACAACATGGTGGAAAGTAAAGGATATCGATCCTATAGAGCAGAGAGCCAAAGGCTATTGTCCACTAACACCAAATGAGGTTGGAATATTCCTAAATTCTCTTGGCTTTCCATCCAGTACCCCTATTTATATTGCTTCTGGAGAGATATATGGGGGTGAATCACGTATGGCTGACCTTCGGGCTAGATATCCGATTCTAATGAACAAGGTACATGTGTTGTATGGTCCTCTAAATCTCACTTCTACAAGTAGATGATGCTTGTGAATGGATTATTACTCAGATGTTATGCTTAGTGCATGAGCTTCCATTAGCATCGAAAGATATGAATCTTGACCCAATATGATTTCATGTTTTGATATGAAATGAAACCTAATCATAGTGATGACAATGGACCCATTTGGATGTTAGCTGATTGAACCTCATTTAGAGGTTTGACCCGTCAAATTCGCTAACTTGATTATTTGGTAAAGAGCTTATTTTATTAGCATTTTGGCCGAAAATGATAATTTTGAAAAAGCTCAAATTTTTGAGAAGAAAGGATTTATAGAATAACATATCAATATAAAATTTCCAAAATAGTTATGCCAACTGTTGTTTTACCAAACAACTACTCCCTCATATTTTTATTAAATGTCATTTTGGTTTTATCAACTATTAACTAAATAAATGACGTTTTGAATCTTTTGTTCATATTTTTCCATTATTACCCTCATTTAGCTAATAAATACACTACGTCTTTTCATATTCACTCTTAATTTTCACATTATTAATGTTCATTAAAAACGCTTATTATTGGCAAAAAAAAAAAAAGATTCTTAATTATTGTGCAACTTCTCAAAACGACACTTATTATGAACATGAGGGAGTATTATTTACAAACTGCTAGTCATATAAGCTAATTATATTGGTATGGATTCAAAACTAGTGAAAATCGATTAAAATTAGATCTTGAGTTAATGTGAGTTATAGTGAGCTATTTTGATTAAAGTTGATTGAGTGGGATGAGAGAGATTGTAACTAAATAATATTTGAAATGTAATGATTAAAGTTGATATGATGTAAAAGTAGGAGAGAGATGATGGAAGTGATAGGTAGTGAAAAATATGTGAATGGATGAATAGTGAATTAAAGTTAATGTGATGTAAGAGAGAGTTGATTGATATTACTTAGGGCATCTGCATTCGTTTAATGTTTTTTCCATTCATTCAATCAAAAGTTACACTCTCTCTCATCCACATCATCTTTTCACTAATTCTCTCTCCATTTAAACACACGACCCACATCCCTACACATTCATTTAAATACAAATATGGGACCCAATATATTCATTCATTCAATATAAATTTTAATATTCTATTCTCAATAAAAATAAAAATTTAATATTTTTAAATTATAATAATAAATTTTAAATGCATGAAAATAAAAGAACACTACAAGATCAAAATACCTTAAATTAATATTACACAAGAAAAAACAGTACAATTACAAAAATGAAGTGTATTTATAGACAAAAAAATGAGGATAAAAAATAAAAAAAAAAATTAAAAAAAGAGCTGCAGAAAATAAAAAAAAAATAAAAAAATAAAAAGGGCTCAAAAGAGCCGTTGAAACATATTAAAGGTAACAATGGGACCAAAAGAAAATTACATATTAAATGAAACAAAAAAATAATAAAATAAAAAAATGAAAAAGGAACCAAAAGATGCCGTTCAAGGCAATGAACGAATTAAGAGGCCTAGGCACTTAATGGATGACTGCATCGCTTTGAACGTTCAACTGCCATTTAAACGGGACAAATTAATGCCCCGTTGTGGATGCCCTTAGTTATATTAATAATATTAAGGATAGTGTGGGTTGAGTTAAATTTGAGTCAAAATGAGTGAGTACAATTCTGATCGATCAAAAATCATCCCCTAAACAATACCAATGACTTCTGAATCTGAATGTAATAAAAGTTTGTTGTCATGGCATAGTAGATGTATAGTCGGGCAAAAAGAAACTGGTTCATGGTGATTTATTTAATTTTTCTTCAAGTCATTTTATGAAAAATTAATTTTTCCCTTTTTTTCGGGGGTGGATTATTCTCAAGTCGTTCTTTTTTCTTTCTTTCTCTGTTATCTGTATCTATTGAGTTGGCTGGAGATTTTGGTGAACGCACACAATTTTTTGACTTATTAGAGTGGATTTTAGTGGCTAGATTTAATTGCAGAAAAATGAATTGATAACTCATCTATAAAAAGTACAGACCCCCCTCCAAACAGGGAACATATGTTTTTCATGCTTCTGTATTTATAAATACTTGTATGATTTGTATATTTTGGTTATCATTCAAACGATGCCGACCCATCTGCCATTGATTTTTACAGGATAAGCTGGCATCGCCTGAAGAACTCGAGCCTTTCATCAATCATGCATCACAAATGGCAGCTCTCGACTATATTGTGTCAGTTGAAAGTGATATATTCATCCCGACCTACTCGGGCAACATGGCAAGGGCTGTTGAGGGCCATCGTCGTTTTCTGGGACACAGAAAAACTATTTCTCCTGACAGGCAAGATATTTTCATATTTTTTGTAGTCCATCTCGATGTCTACACCATGTTTTTTTACTTGATATTATGTTTTTTCTTGTTCATAGGAAATCCCTTGTTCATTTGTTTGATAAAATCAAGGGAGGAACAATGAAAGAAGGCAAAAACCTCTCAGATCGTGTGATTGATCTTCACAGACGAAGGTAGGTACAATTCTGTGGTGGTTTTTTCCCCTCTTGATTTTGATTACTGAACTTGTGCAGGATTTAAATATTGATACTGTATTAATTTAGAGCAGCGGTGCATATTGAATAATTGTAACCCAATATATGTTGATCAAGGTTTTAAAAGGCGCTAGGCACTCGCTATATGGCGGACTAAGGCCTAGCACCTAGGGCTCCTAAAATAACTTATATTTGTAATAATGCATAACTTACGAAATACATTTTATAAAATATACTACTTAGTGTGGTTAAATTCAAAGATTATCATACATATTATATATTTATAATTATTGTATTAATTGCATGACTAATTTTTTTATTTGATAATGATTGTACATTTTATGTATAAAATCAAAATCTATTTTTATTATATTTCGAAAATAAATTTAATAAATGTTAAAAAAAATTATATGGTTTTAAAGACATCTTTGATAGTGAGGATTTTTTAAAGCAAAAATGCATTTAAAATAGAAAATAAAATAAGCAATTGAAGTGAAACAAGTTCTTTCAAATTTTCAGCTCTGTTCTCTGTTCTGTTTTTCAGGCAAGGTTCCCCAAGGAAGAGAAAAGGTCCCATCCCTGGATCAAAGGGCAAAGATAGGTTTCGTACAGAAGAGGCATTTTACGTGAATCCTTTGCCCGACTGCTTATGTCAGAAAGAAAATCCATCCCTTATTATCAAGTAGATATATGCATATATATATATATATTAAGGTTAGATCAAGAGAAACTGCTCTGATTATTTCTATTTACTCCCCAAAAGATGGTGGATGGTTGGCACAGTTCCTAGGAGTTGCTCCTTTTGTGTTTTGAAGCCCGTGAAGTTGAATGGTGCCATTAGGAGCAGTTTTTAAGGTGCGTTAAACTCTGCATATATAGCAAATTGAACAAGAAATGCTATAGTTGCAGATTGATTTGTTGAGAAAGGCGATCTGTTGAGAAAGGTTGGTGCTCCATGGGATGATATGGTCTCTTAGTTGGCCCGGGTTCTTTGAGCTGGGAGAGACATTAAATTTTGGAGTACATATTTTTTTTTTTCTTTTTCAACTTTTTGCCTTTTTCATTTTTGTGTTTAGAGTTCATAGATCGGAATCGTGATGTAGTTTTTATGTTAATTCGAGACGGATTAGGATATAATGTTCCACTTTCTTAATGATTGTTAAGGGTGTCCTGAATACTATGGTTGAACAAATTTTTTTGAAAAATGTTAGAATTTATGTAATCTCATTTTTTAATCTCAGATGAACGACTACCTCATAACAGAAAACTAGTATTAATGATTTGATGAGGAAAATGATAATATTATTAGGAAATAGGTGGCTTTATAAAATAGTGATGCGTATTCGGAGGTCTGCAAGTGTCTAGGGTTAAAATTAGAGGAAATTACATGGTGTACTATACTATTTCTTCTTTATTATTATTATATAATTCTTTTATAATTATTAGCAAAATTATTTAAATTTTTATATTTCTTTGAACATATACTAGAATTTTAATTTTAATATATATCTTTATTAAATATATTTATTCAGGTGCAAGTTAGAGTTTATTTTAATGACCATATTTAATGGAATCTTTATCTCTCTCCGTTTCCTCTTCCTCTCTCTCTCTCACTCTCTCCATATACCTAGGCTGCAAACGAGTCGAGTCGAGTCGAGCATTGACTTTATCGAGCAGGATTGATTTTTTTCATTTTAGCTGCTCGAGCTCGAGCTCGTCGAGCTCGATTTTTTAGGCTTAGCTCGACTCGATAAAAAAATACAAGAGCTCGAGCTCGACTCGAATTCAAAATGCTCGAGCTCGGCTCGAGTTCGGTTCGAATTTTTTCAAGCAATTTTGTAAAATAACCATTAATTATATATATACACAAGGGGTATTTTAGTAATTTCATATATTTCGAGCTGCTCGCGAGCCGCTCGAAAATGCAAAATATGAGCTCGAGCTCGACTTGAGTTCATGCTCGAGCTGCTCGAGCTCGATTCAAGTTCGGTCAAACTCGAGCTCGAGTCGAGCTTTGACTCTTCATGTTGGGCTAGCGTCGTACTTTCTCTCAGACCCACTTNATAGAGATGCCTGCCAAGATTTTATTAGGCTAACATTAGAACTTAGCGAAATAATTAACATGATTCTTTTGATGTAAGAGATTGTGGGATTGTCGATCATGGTTTAAAATTTTTACTAATTGATTAAATTTACAGGGATTAGATTTTTAGAAAGGCGTCATCGGAGTTGGTCGGATATGAGGTGACTTCTTTTTCGATCGCTGCGGTTGCTTTTGATGAGACAACGATGAACTCTGCCGGATGCGCGTCCCTCCCCTCTTCCTTCCCAGCGGGGAGGTCAAGTTGGCGATGACGAACGCGAGGCCCGAAGCTCGGGCTCGTGGAAATATTCGTAGTATATGTTGTGTGTATAAATAGTATATTTTCAGTATATGTTTTTACATCCTAGTATGCATAAATTTTTGGTAGTATATATATGTTGCGTGTATAGGCAATATATTTTCAGTATATGTTTTTACATCCTATTATGTATAAATTTTTGGCAGTATATCGGAGATTTATGTTTGTAATCTAATATGTATAATTTTCTTTTACATCCTAAGCGCCCTTATAATATGTTTTACATATCAATGTTGTACATATTTTAGGTATAAAATTAAATAAGAAATATAAAAAAAAAAAAGTATAAACATAATCCAAACATCACAATGGCGTTTAGATAATGTTACGTAAATAAACACGCAACATATACTGAACATATAATGATTATAAAAGTAACATATGCTGAAAATATTCTTTGTCCATGCCTGCAACGGGCAATACTCTTGGACTTCGAGGAGGACGACCAGAGGAAGTCATCGTCGTCGTCGGCGCCCGACGAGAAAGTTGTTTACCGCTTCCCCTGATCAGTCGGATCCGCTGCGTTGTCGTTCTCCAACGTCATCGTGAATTGATTTAATTTCTCGGGCATCTTCTCCATCCAAGAGAGAGAAAACATGAACATAAAGAAACAGAGAAAAATATAGCGTTAAAAAACACAAGATCTTCCTTCTAATGCAAAACGTGTAAGTCTTGTAAAAGATTCCAAAGCTCCTCGCCCATCAAGGCAATTGGAGTCGGTGTCAGAAATACAACAAAATTATTATGAGGTAACGAGGCTAGTTCGTCCAGCCCCGTGATCGGGAATTGACCCAGAGTACGGAGAAAAATTTAAACATTGTACGCACCTAATCCTAATTCTTAGATCCACTGACCTTAGGATTATTTTTTTTAGACAATTCGTTCTTGTATGATCATTGAAGTTTTTCACGAAACCCAAACAATTGGTATCAGAGTTAAGAATTTGTATGAATGACAAGTGCACATGTGCAACAATAGTAGATTCAAATTGCATAACTTGGTATTGTATGATTTTTTGAACTGACTATTATGGCCATTGCTCATGCATATTTCTAAAGTATTAGACATGCCGAGGAATTTTATGGGTTAATTAATGTTTGTAATAGATTAAATTATGGCGGGTTGTCGTATAGATCTATTGTTTTTCTAAAACGAACATGTAAACCCTTGCGTTGGTCATAAGATTAAGAACACTAATTTTCTTTTGGACAAACACGACAAACGGGAATGACCAGATGAAAAATAATCACAACCTAATCACCTCGACAGACGACCTCACTTATGGCTCTTGGTAGCGTGGCCTCGCGCAAAGCCACGTGGACTTGCATGAAGGCCGTTGCAACTTGTTGTCGACACTGCTTGGTCATGCTAGATGCGTATATGGTGTGTGAATAAGGGCCGATGATAAGGTTAGCGAGCTAGGCTAAGCGATGCTCGGCGGCTGGGTAACGGGTGTAGGTTGGCAAGTGTTGCGTGTGGTGCATGAGAAATTTAGAGGGCCAGTGCACAACACAACATAGACCAGCCATGTCTATCAATGCCCAACAGTCGCCGAGATACACTCGAAGATATTGTAGTGCGCGAGCCGCACGCATCGTATGGGGAGTCGGGCGACTCTAGTGATGCGTGCGGTAGAAAGGTATGCAAAGGTCTTACAACAGCCTCGCTAGTGTATGTGCACGAGCGTGTGCTGGTGACTCGTACGAAAAACATGGGCGACGAAGCGACGGGGTAATGCAGAGGCGATAGTCAATGGGGCATATTGCGATAGTTCCTTTTTTTTTTTTTGCCATCAAGTAAGAGGTTAAGAGAATGCAATAATTACTGATGTCTAGATTATTTACTCGGTCAAATATAAAATAATATTATCCTCCATAATCCATTCAATATATCTGAGATGTATTACTGTAATTCGTTAGTCAAAGATCAACTAACTCGAAAAATCACACTACGCCCTTTCACAACAGTAATCTTATCTAGGTTGTGAACAAATAATTTATATTTTATAAGGAACCAATAATATGATCTTTCTGTTCGATACCTCGAATCATATCATCTACAGAATACAATAAAGAAACTATGTTCGCATAAATAAATAAACTGCAAACATACACTTGACTAAAATATGAATCTCATCAAAATTGAATTGTTGGTAACACAAAGACAAGCTTCTACAGTATACCCTAACAACCATTTATACTTTAAATATTTTAGCTATACCAAGTATACATTCTTTCAATCTAATTCTCAGAGAATAGTCTAAGTAATTGTCATGCATCTGGCTCCCATCTTCTCTACGTGTCTGTTAAAGACCTTCGTCGCTAGGCTCTACTTAAAAGGATCTACCAGATTGTCCTCTTATGCAATCTTGGCGATGACGACCTCCCATTATCTTACGATGTCTTGTATCAGGTGGTATTTGCGCTCTACGTGTTTACTGCCTTGTGTCTTTGTGGTTCTTTCAAGTTTGTTACTGCTCAATTGTTATCACAAAAAACTGTAATCGCTGCGGACAAACTATGTCCCCCGTTCAGGTCTAGCAGGGAGTTCTCGAGCCAAACCGCTTTCTTCGTTTCCTCTGAGGCCGCAACATACTCAGCTTCCATGGTGGAGTTCTCCACGCATTTTTTCTTGACACTCTGCCGAACTATGGCTCCATCTCCCAGAGTAAACACAAACCCCAAATGGATTCACAGAAAGCAGTGATCGCTGCGGGCAAACTCTATACTACATTTAGCTCTAACAGGGAGTTCTTGAGCCAAACTGCTTCCTTCATAGCCTTTAAAGCCGCAACGTACTCGTCTTACATGGTGGAGTCAGCCACACATTTCTTCTTGACACTCTGTCGAACTATGGCTCTACCTCCTAGAGTAAACACAAACTCTAAGGTGGATTTACTTTTATTCGGGTCTGGCTGGAAATCAAAATCAGTGTAACCCAATGGGAGAAGTTCATCCACCCGGTAAACCAACACATAATCCTTAGTCCTTCTTAGATACTTGAGTATATGCTTTATTGCAAAACATTGCCCAGGTCTTGGATTACTTTGACTACAATGCCCATGAGATAATAGATATCCGACCGTGTACATAGCATAGCATACATGGGGCTTCCTATTACCGATGCATAAGGAATTACCTTCATGTCCTCCATCTCATAGATTGTTTTGGGAGACATCTCCTTAGATAGAGGAATTCCATGCCAAGAAAGTAAAAAGCCTCTTCTTTGAATCTTGAATGCTAACATCTTTTTCTTGCGTAGAACTGTGATCCCAAGAATATGTCATGATTCTTCCAATTCCTTCATATCATACTGCTTGGACAACCATATCTTCACATCTAACAGCACCTTTACACTATTTCCAATGAGAAGAATGTCGTCTACACATAGCTAGGCCTGTAAACGAGCCGAGCTCTAGCCCTTAAAGAGTTGAGCCAGAAATCAAGCCCGAGCTCAGCTCGTTAAGGCCTCGAGCTCGAGCTTTAACGAGCCGATCTCGAGTTGTAACGAGCTGAACTATAAAAGATTATATAAAAATTCTATTTTTTAGCCTTATCGAGCCGAGCTAACTCAACGAGCTTTAAATGAGCTCGAGCTCGGCTCGTTAAAACCTCGAACTCGAGCCTTAAAGAGCCGAGCCAATCCAGACTCGTCTAATTTAACAGCACTACGTATAGCACATGAAACACCACCACGTTTTCGTCACTTTTCTTGTACACACAATGCTCATCCGGACATTAGTAAATCCAAACAATTGGACAACCTTGTCAAAATGGATGTTTCAAGATCGTGAAGCTTGCTTCAATCCATAAATAAACTGATTAGAGGACATATCGCCATGATT